TTAATTGTGCAGGACGGAGAGGTCCCGGCTGGCCTGGGAGGGGTTTTAGCAGCTGACAGGCCACAAGCAGGGTTCCCCCAGGGCTGCCCGAGGTGAGGGCGCCTGTGCGGCTCCCAGTGTCAGCGTTTGGTGCTGATGACAGCAGTGCGCGCGTTTTAGGTGTTGCCGGATGTTGTGCACATAAAACCAGGTATCTGTGAGGCCCCGAAGCACGAAGCACTGAGTTCACAGGATGCAGGTCAGAAACCACCACACAGAGGGAAGTGGCAGTTGCTGAGAGCCCCAAACCAGCTGCGTTTCCCTGGCAACACGAGTTTGCTTTTCATGCTGGGAAGAGGCTGGGCGGCTGCGCCCAGGGCATGGGCCACTCTGGGTCACTGAGCATCCTGGTCCCGGCTGGAGGCCCAGCCCAGGGGTGTGTCAGGCCAGGGCCAACTGCTCACGGGGAAGCCACGCAGCGCCAGCCCTGCCCTAACATCCCAGTGGCCCCAGGTGGGGTGGGCACAGGCTGGGTCCAGGAGGCACCTGACCTGGACTCACATTCCAGCTCTGTCACTTACCTCACGGCCACTCGGCTTTCTCCTCGAGTCTCCAACTCCACTGCCAGTTCGCTCAGGGTGCAGGTGCTTCCCCTCAGGCCCTCAAAGACAGGGGCAGGCAGCCCTGGGCGGTGTGCTCAGTGGTTAGTGTGTCAGCTTGTGCTAAGGGTTGCGGGTTCAATTCCTGATCAAGGGCATGTACCTGGGTTGCAGGTTGGATCCCACCCCAGTCGGGGTGCATGGGAGAGGCAACTAATTGATTTGTCTCTCTCACATCGGTGTTTCTACCTTCCCCTCTAAAAATCACTGGAGTCCAATGGTGTGGTTCAGTGGTTGAGCATCGACCTATGAACCAGGAGGTCACGGTTCAATTCCCAGTCAGGGCATATGCCCAGGCTGCGGGCTCTATCCCCAGTGTGGGGCATGCTGGAGGTAGCCAATCAATGATTCTCTCTCATCATTGATGTTTCTCTCTCTCTCCCATCCTCTTTGAAATCAATAAAAATATATATACACAACAGATTTACCATTTTAACATTTTTAGGTATACAGTGCAGTAGCATTAATGACATTTACGTTATGGTGCCCCATCACCACTGTCCATCTCCAGAATGTTTTCAGCTTCCCAAATGGAAACGGTACCCATTAAACACTAAGTCCCTATTCCCCGCGCCTCAGACCTGGCAACCACCACCCTACGTTCTGTCTCTGAATCTTGACTACGCTAGGTCCCTCATGGGAGGGAATCAGACAGCATTTGTTGCTTTGTGTCTGAGCTATTTCACTCAACAGAGTGTCTCCCAGGGTCATCCCCGGGGTAGCGTGTGTCAGAATGTCCTTTTTTTTTTTTTTGGTGCCGAAACCCGGGAACGAGAATGTCCTTTTTTAAGGCTGCCCGTGTTGCTTTGAGTCCTGCTTTATGTCTTTCGTGAACAGTACTGACTTTCACCCTTGAAATCAATTTACTTTGAAAACATGCAAATCTTGAGAGGCCACTGTGCGCTGCATCCTTAACTGGTCTCCCCCCCACCCCCCCACCTGCGTGGTCCCCGGGTACCATCTCTCCCTGAGCTTCACGGGCCCCTTCACTTCACTCCTGGTTTTACAACTTTTCACATCGACGGAATCCTACACTGTGTGGTCTTTAGAGACTGGTGCCCATCCTGCTAGCTTATTCTTCTGGTTTAATAAGAATCCTTCAGCAATTGGTCAAGTCAATATTTTATTTTAAAAAAAAACCTACACACACACACACACACACACACACACACACGCACACACACAGCTCACGAAGGCAGAGCCGGGAAAGGAGACTGAGATCTCGTCTTTGGCGCCAGGCTGACCACAGAGTGCTTCTCTTGCACAGCCGGCCGCACGTGAAGAAAGAGAGCAGATGCCCAAGCTGATAAATTAGGAGAGGGCTTGGTTTTTACAGGGAGACTTAAGGCAGCGCCACTCCCGCGAGGAGTGGGATTTGTGCAGGAGCATCCAGAAACCTCTCTGTTGTGTTAGGTCCGGTCACCAGTCCCGGAGGCCGTTGGAAAAGCAGGAGGCAGAGACCAGATTTCCTTGGAGGCTGCTTTTCTTTCCCGGATGAGGAGAATGTTCTCCCAGGAGAATAGGCCGGAGAGAGAGGTCCGGAGTAGCTCGGGAGCCCAGGAGGGAGGAGAAGGCCCTCCGTGCCCGCCAGCCGGGCAGGGCTTTGGCACAGGAACACAGGTTCGGAAGTCTCTCCTGAGGTCACCGGCCCGCGGGTCCTCCTGCCTGCGGGGCCACACGCCCTGCAGGGCCTCCTGCGGGCCCGGAGGCCGCGGTGTCCTCAGACGGCTGCATCTTGGGAAGGAAAAGGCAATGTGAGGCCTGGGGCCAGGGCGGGGCCCACCCAGAAGTCACACACCAGCGGGTGACCCGCGTTCCGCTCGGTGCACTGCCTTCCTCCCCCCAGCACCAACTTTCATTGGGATTATTTTACTGTTTAAATGCATCTCTGAAAAAAAAAATTAAATAGTGCAGAGGGGATGCCCATCCCTATTCCTCCCCACCTCAGGCCGCAACATTTTTTTGCGTTGTTTTCATCATTCATTTTGCCCTTACACAGCTTTATGGAGATATCATCCATATGCCATAGAATTCACCCATGGTCTGCACTGTAGTTGCAGAATTGCACGACCATTTTAATCACTTCAACAAGAAACCCCATGCCTGTTGGCAGGCAGCTCTGTGTCCCACCTCCCCTGAGCCGTGAGCAACCGCGGAGCTACTTTCTGTCTCTGTCTATTCCGGCCGTGTCGCCTCAATGGGACCCTACACTGTGTGGTCTGTGGAGACTGGCACCCTTCCTGTGAGCTTTTTGCCAGTGGCCCTGGGAGGAAAGGGAAGCTCTTTCTGCAGGAAATGTAATATAAATGCTGCCACGTTTTTCATGCATTTTTAAAAAAAATAACAAAGAAAGGAAGTGCTAGATCAAAGAAAGAAGAGGATTCATTAAATTAGTGTGTTCAAGCTTTCAGCGATTCTTAAGATAAAAAATATTAGGTATGGTATGGGGATATATTTATAAGGATGTTCATTAGAGCGTTTTTTAGTAGCAAAGAATTATATAACAACAACAAAAGATAATGCCCCTCACAGGAGACAAGTAAACTGTAGCACAGACATGCAACAGGGTCAGTGTGACCCCATGGAGCCATTAAGAAGGACAGAAGCCCTGGCCAGTGTTGCTCAGTCATTAGAGTGTTGGCCCACTCACCAAAATGTCCAGGGTTTGGTTCCCATTCAAGGGCATGTCCCTGGGTTGTAGGTTTGATCCCCAGCCCCAGTTGGGGCACATGCAGGAGGCAACCAATTGATGTCGATGTCTCTCTCTCTCTCTCTTCTTCTTCTCCTCCTCCTCCTCCTCCTCCTCCTCCTCCTCCTCCTCCTCCCTCCCTCCCTTCCACTTTCTCTAAAAATCAATGGAAAAAATATCCTCAGATGAAGATTAACAACAAATAAAAAATAAAAAGAATAAAGAAAAGGATGACAGAAAAGAGCACCAACCAACATGGGGAAAGTGTCTGCTAGATGGTCAAGTAGGAGAAAAGGATCAGGTTACAAAATAACCCACACCGTTCTGATCCTTTTAATCAAAGCGACATGTATACATACGTATCTCCAGCTCTCTCTCTCTCTCTCTCTCTCTCCCCCTCTCTCTCTCTCTCCATCTCCATCATCTCCATCTCCATCTCCGTATATTACTCAGAGAGAGGGAATACTGGAAGGAAAGACGCCCAGCACGTGCTATTTCGGGATAGTGTGAGGACAGATGGTTTTTATTAAAAACATTTTGTTCTTGTTTGCATTTTCTAAATGTCCCATATTTCCTCCCTGTCATTAGGAAACATGTAAAGAAAATGCTTCTCCGTCAGAGGCTGGCACGTCGGGGCATTCCTGGGCGCGGCGGGCACGGGGCCGAGCAGAGGTCCCGGGCGCCTGTGCCTCGCAGCCTCCTCTACAGCAGCCTGTGATCTGTTGTGAGGCCCGGAACAGGCTGTGCTCCGGCCCCTGAGCTCACGGAGATCACCCGTGTTCGGACCACCAGCACTCACCTGTGGACTGGGTCACACAAGAGATCTTGTAGGACAGCCACACGCTCGCCAGGCAGAGGAAGGTGGCCACGAAGCCGAAGATCTGCACAGGAGAGAGGGGAGAGGAAGTTCCTGGGTCCAGGGCCAGCCACCCACCCCTGTGCCTGTCCCTGCACTGACTGTGGCGGGGAGGGAGCCCGGGGAATCGCCTGACCCAAACCCTGCGTCCTGGCTCAGGTGCAGAGACAGGCCCTGTCCCCAGGGCTCCCGGCTGGGACCCGGGTCTCCACCCCTCCGTCCTCCTCACTCGGGGCAACTTCACGCCCATGTTCAGGTTTGTTTCAACCGAGCTGGGCCAAGCCACTGTACTTGAGTTATCCTGGGCTAACGAGAAAGAAAAAGGTGGAATCGTGCATTTTAACTTGGGTTTTAAAATGTATAATGTTCAAATGGATTCTATTGGGGTGATAGCACTGTTTGCATTTCATTCATGATGGTTTCTGTCTGGCTTCATAGCTGGGTGAGAGCCAGGAGCTGAGGCTTTGCTATCTAGCCTTACGTTTGCACATCCTATAATAATAAAAGGCTAATATGCAAATTGTCCCCTCCACCAGGAGTTTGACCAGGGGGTGGGGCCGGCCAGCCAACTGCCCACGGCCCCTCCCTTCCACCAGCCTGGCCCGATGGCCCCCATAGGGCGAGCCGGCCGGACCCCACCTGTGCATGAATTTGTGCACTGGGCCTCTAGTATTTAAATAACATTGGACTAAAATACGTTCAGGCAGTGAGTGCTCCTTTAGTTTCTGAGGGTCCACCCAGTGCTCAACTGTGGGGCCCTCACCCCGTCCAACCTCCTCATCGGTGGATGGGGGACGGGGCGCCCAGACAGGAAAAGGGCCTCGCCTGGGGCTCATCAAACGGGGAAGCGAGAAGCAGGCACACACTCTGGTGTCTGGCATGGAGCTGCGAAGCCTGAAGCCATTTTCCTTACTTGTGAACAAATCTGGCAGCTGCAGCTAGTTTATGGGGCACGTACTCTGCGCCCACCAGTCTTCTAACTCTGCCCGGTGGGTCCTGGTGTGACCCTCTCAGGCCCTCACTTTGCAGCTGAAGAAATGGAGGGTCAGGGGGTCAACGATTTGCCCAGGGCCACAGAGACAGCAAGGGCCAGACCTGGGACTGGAGCCCAGGGCGCCTGGCTCCAGAGTCCACACTCCGCTCTACCTGGGGCCCAGCTGACCTCAGGCTGGCAAAGAGCCCCAGGCTCACTATGTTGCCACCAGGTGCCCTTGGAAACCACGGCTGCCGTCCAGGAGGAGGGGCCCAGGGCGAAGGGCAGGATCTTCAAGGCTGGGCTTTCTCTTCAAGCCTGGCTGCTGGTTTGCATAAGGGGCTGCCCCCCCTCCCCCGGGCCACACACCCTCTCCCCTCCCCCCAGCTCCGTTCCCTTGGCTCCTTTTGTACCGACTGTCTGCACCACATAATCAGCCTGTTCGAGCCTGTTCCGGCCTCTCATTGTCTGTTCTGCACAATTAGCACATTATACACCGTCCTGGTCTCCAACTGTCTGCACTGCATAATGGAACAGCTTCTTCATTATGGCCACATAATGCCCTTCCGGATGGCAATGCCTTGTTTGCGAAATGTACCACGCGCCTTGGCCCTGACTCCTGAGCTGGATCACCACTCTCCCATAAGCAAGGACCCTATCTTTTTATTACTTCCGGCTCCTCCACGGAACCAGGCCTGGTCCAGGCACAGAGACGGTGTATGATAACAGGGGGCAATTGGGATTCCAGGGCTAACAGCATTCTGTGCCACCTGAATCATAAAACCCAGTGGGCCTCTCCCGACGTGGGCCTGATGCACAGTGGGCACAACTTTTCTTTGTGCCCCCTCCACCGGCCTGTCTGCAGGTGGAACCCTGCGGGTGGCAACCACACCTCTCCTTGGAGCCTGCAGGGAGGGGGTCCTGAGGGGTGCAAGGTGGTGGAGGGGAGGAAGGGCTGTGGGTGGCACCTAAGGGGCATGAGTGTTTGGAGGAGTGACCTTCTGCCCCATGCCGACCTTTAGAGGGCAGGCTCCACCCCTCGGTGGATTCCAGGTGTGAACCCACTCTTGGCCCAAAGCCTCAGGGATTTTGGTAAAGTCTGCACATGAAAGAGTAGCTGTCACACAGACAGCTTTGCCTAAAACTCGTTTTAAAAGTCTTGCTCCTTAGTGAGGCAAATCAGTACTGGCCCACAGGCCACCAAAAGGAAAAGAATTCGCTAAATCAGAAATCATATGACAGCAGTCTATAAATCTTTAAAATAATGGCATACACATATGTATATATGCGTGTGCATTTGTGTGGTAGGTATAAATGGATCCCACAGCACTGCAGTTTTGTACATTTCCATGCTACCTCTGTTTAAGCTATCAGAGGGGTCAATTTCACCTTTGAAAGGAATAGGAGGATTCCTTCCTGGCCTGAATGTGGCTAAAAGTTAGGACTGATAAAGCTAGGACGGATGGCCGACGTCACCAGCAGATCACAGCGCTGTTCCTTTGGGCCCAAGAGGCTCCAGAATATTGACCACAATGGACACGTGATTTCAAATCCACTGACCACAATGGACACGTGATTTCAAATCCACTTGCTGCCTGTATTAAGTGGCGGCTGCAAGAGAGAGGCCCGGGCCGCTGGGGCCATGTTTGCCAACAGCCCTGATGATTCACCTCCTGAGACCCTCCGTTTAAGCCTCTTTGGGGACCGGGCTGGCTGGATCAAGGTGGGTACCGATCCTGAGAAAGAAAGGCCCCACAAAACAATCCCTCCGCTGTCCCGTCAAGAAGAAAATGAGCCCGGAATGCATGGACTCATTGCGAAGGCGCCCCGAGGAGATCCTCACCGAGGCGGCTACCAGCTCGCTCTGGCTGTAACTCTTGGAGGCGGCCACGATGGAGGCGATGAGGAGGAGCAGGGTGCCGATTAAATAGTGCAGAAGTTCCTGGGGGCAAAAACAAAGCAGAGCCGTGGGTCGGAGGTCCGCTCCTGGCGCCGAGAGGAAACCGGGGGTCAGGAGAGATGAACAGAAGAGGAGGGAGTGTAGCACCCCGACAGGAGCAGCGCAGATCACGGCCAACAGATGCGTAAGGTGGCCGGGATGATGCGTGAGGCTGGCCAGGATGGGGCCGAGCAAGAGAGAAAGGATGCCAGGCAGGCAGGGAGGAAGGAAGGGGACAGGAAGAAAGGACGCTTCCTGGGTGAGGACAGAAATCCACCAAAGGCTGCTCCACTCCTGAGATCAACCTGTAGACAGTACCTTGACCTCCGGCCCCCGAGCCTCTCCCAGCACCCAGGCTGGGGAGTTTAAGCAAAGCTCCAGCCCCGAGAATGGAGGCCCCTTAAAGAGATGGGTGCCCTGCCCTGGCTGGTGTGCCTGAGTGGATAGAGCACTGGCCTGCGGACTGAGGGGTCCCAGGTTCAGTTCCGGTCAGGGGCACATGCCCAGGTTGTGGACTCGATCCCCAGTGGGGGGCGTGCAGGAGGCAGCCGATCAATGGTTCTCTCTCATCATTGATGTTTCTATCTCTCCCTCTCCCTTCATCTCTGAGATCAATGGGAATATATTTTTAAAAAAAAGAGAGAGAGAGATGGGTGCCTTTCGCTTCTGCCTCAGAGAATGTTCTGGGCTCACTGAGCTGGCTCTGGTGGTGCCTGCCCTGTGAGCCGTTTTTTAGTTGTGGACTTGACAGGTGCTCGGCCCCCTCCAACCCGGCGTCAGAGCCTGGAGTGTGGTCCCGGCCCTTCTGCAAAGCGCCCGGGCGTGTGGTGGGCGCCGGCATTCTCATTCCTAAGCCCGCCTGGTTTCGTCTGCATTTTGTCTTCCCCCTTCTCTTCTCCCCAGAAGTGCACCTGAGGCCAAGCTCTGCAGGTAAGTCTCCTGGTGGGACTGACTCTGCCTCTGCTCCGCCCCCGGGTGGGTCCGCAGGGCTGTCCGTTGCCGTCCCACTCACTCTCCAGGATTAGGATGTCATTCAGCAGCATGGACGCACTCCCACCTCCTCCTCCTTCCTCCCCAGTAAATACCAGGTCAGAGCGGGACTGGGGTTCAAGGCCATTCGTAATGCTCACTCTGAACCCAGAGCGTATGCATGTGCAGTCTCCAGCGAGAGTTCGGAGAAGATTCCTTCGTGAAGTTCTGCCCATCAGGGCAGGCGGCTGTTCGATGCTGGGCAAGCATCCCACGTTCAGGCTGCAGCTCCTGTCAAAGCCGCGCAAAATCGAAGACCCTGACTTCTCCCCGAGCGACGAGAAAGGAGTATCGCAAGGTGGACCGCAGAGATTCTGACCAAGAGCAGATTAGTAACTGGAGGTTCCCTATGCCAAGATTCTCTGGGGAAAATGACTTGAGAGAGAGGGTCCTAAAGGGAGGTGCCAACACGTACTGAGCTAAAAAACTGTGTGGCTGAATGTATCCTTCCAACATTCACGCCCCTTTCAGCCCTCCCTCATTCTCCTCCCACAGCTTTTATTCTCTCCTTTGCTTGTTCCTTGTGAGTATCAGCGAAGCCCAGAGAAGCTTGCTCTCAAAAGCAGCAAAAAGGTGCCACAACTTTGAAAGGGACCTTACAACTTAGCAACATAAAAGGAATTTCTCTTAAAATGTGAATGATTAAACAATTCAACCAAGAAGCAGAGGTTGTCAGACTAGATTTAAAAAAAAAAAATCCAACTACGTGCTTTCTATAGGAGACACACTTTATATTCAAAGACACAAATAGGTTGAAAGTAGAAGGATGGAAAAGACGTGTCATTCAAATAGCAACCAAAAGAAAGCTAGAGTGGCTGTAGTTGTATCAGACAAAGTAGATTTTAAAACAAAAAATGTTACCAGAGATTAAAAGGGACATTTTATAACGATGGACATGTCAATTCGTCAGGAGAATGTAACAATTATAAACATGCATGCACCTAATAACAGAGCAACAAAATACATGAAACAAAAACTCAAATAAATGAAGGGAGAAATAGATAATTCAAAAATAATAGCTGGAGGCTCCAATACCACATAATGTTTAGAACAACTAGGGAGAAAATCAACAAGGAAACAGAAGGCTCAAACAATACTATCAAACAACTAGACGTAACAGGCATCTATGAAACATTCTATCCAACAACAGTAGAATATACGTTCTTCTCAAACGCACATAAAACATTCTTCAGCATAGACCGTAGGCCAGCGGTTCTCAACCAGTGGGTCGCGACCCCTTTGGGGGTCGAACGACCCTTTCACAGGGGTCGCCTAAGACCATCGGAAAACACATCTATAATTACATATTGTTTTTGTGATTAATCACTATGCTTTAATTATGTTCAATTTGTAACAATGAAATTGGGGGTCGCCACAACATGAGGAACTGTATTAAAGGGTTTCGGCATTAGAAAGGTTGAGAACCATTGCCGTAGACCATATGCCAAACCATAAAAACAACCCCAATAGATATAAAAGGACTGAAATAATGTGAGGTGTGTTCTCCAACTGCTACAGAATAAAATTAGAAATCAATAGCAGATAGAAATTTGGGAAACTCACAAATTTGTAGAAATTAAACAACACATTACCTAACTAATTAATGGGTCAAAGAAGAAATCACAAGGGAAATTAGAAAAATACTTGGAGATGAATGAAAATGAACACCCAATACACCCAAATTATGGGAAGCAACTAACGCAGTGCTCAGAGAGGTGTCTATAGCTGTAAATGGAAAAAGAAGAAAGGTTTCATATTCATAACCTAACCTTCACCTTAAGACACTGGAAAAGACGAGCACAGTAAACCTAAAGCAAGAAGAAAGTCGGAAAATAGCCAGTGCTGACAGGATGTAGAAAAACCTGGAACCCGAATACATTGCTGATGGGAATGTCAATGGATGTGCCACTTTGGAAAAACAGTCTGGCAGGTCCTCAGACAATTAAACATAGTGACCATGTGACCCAGCAATTCCACTCTGAGTTATAGTCCCAAGTGAGTGAAATCATGTCCATAGAAAAAACTTGCACATGAATGCTCATAGCAGCAGTATTTGTAATAGCCAAAAGGTGGAAACAACCCAAATGCCCATCAGGGATGAACAGATGTGGTATATCTGTTCAATGGAACACTACTTGGCTATTATGAAGAGGAAAAAAAGTACTGACACACAATACAACTTAGATAAACCATGAAAACACTCTGCTAAGTGAAAGAAGCCAGTCACAGAAGACCATATATATGATTCCATTTACATGAAATATCCAGAATAGGAAAATTTAGAGAGACAGAAAGTACATTAGTGGCTGGTCAGGGCTGGAGGGGATGAGGGGTTGATGGTGACAGTGAAAGGGCATGGAGTTCTGCCGGAAGCCAGTCCATCCTTGCTGCTTGACACAGTCGCTGCAGGAAAGAAACATCTGCACAGCATATGTTTCAATGGACCTGGCGTATATGGCATACTGTTCTTAATATGTTTGCTCCCCTTAGTGCCATGTGTTTTAACCAAGGTCACCTCTCCGAGAAAGGTTGTTTCCCCAGGTGGGGATTTTCCCCTGAAGTTAGGGAGGGAATAAAACCCCTTAACTAAATGCCAGGCAGGTAGTTAATCACTTTAACTACAAACAATCACGCTTAAGCTACATAATCTTTACGCCCTGGAATGGAGATAAGAAATGCCCTAACCTTTGGAATAGAGATTGATAGGATTGGAATCAACTGGTATAAATACAGATGTAACAAGACAACAGGACACAGTACCTAGAAACAGAACCTAGTGAGAGAACCTGGCTGAAGAACCTAGAGACAGAACCTAGAGACAGAACCTAGACACAGAACCTAGACAGAGAACCTAGAGACAGAACCTAGCGAGAGAACATGGCTGGAGATCCTGGCTAGGCTACTGATCAACTGAAGGCTGTCTCCGTATCATTCCTTCTTCGCCGACTCCGTCCACACCTTTGGGGACCCTTGGACCCGCTGGGGTTGGACCCCAGCAGAGTTCCTTTCTGAGGTGATGAAATGTTCTAAAATGGATTGTGGTGATGGTTGCACAGCTCTGGGAATATACTAAAACCCACTGAATTATACACTTTAAATGGGTAACTGTAAGGCATGTGAACTACTATCAATAAAGCTGTTTTAAAAAATAATATAGTGGGAAGAGAAAACCCTGGCCACTTTGAACTCTTTCCTCAGACTCTGCCGGTCCATTTTAGCTGACAAATGTTATCATCCAATACTCACAAGGGTACAAATACCCATCACCTTTGTCAGCTTCTTCCTTCCATGTTCCTCCTCCCAACTCCCCCACACAGCCCATTATCTGTCACTTGAGAGGATCAACATTGGGGTGAGAGGCCGAGTTTTCCCGTGGCTGGAAGGTGAGAGTTAGAAGCAGCGGGACATCAGAGAAGCAGAGATGTCCACCAAACAGTGGGAAATTCAGGGCTGAAGCAGCGAAGGATGGTGCAAGAGGTGGGGTGGGCAGACGAGAGGGCTCCAGGGGGTCTCAGTGCCCAGCTAACACCCTGACTTCCGGGCCGAGGGCAGGGCCAGGCCACTCCCTTACCGACAGGGGCCAGCTGATGCAGGTGAGCACACGGTAGAGGCGGAAGAGGTGGACCAGGTAGAAGGCGAGGATCATGATCAAGTTGCAGATGGTGACCACTTCGAAGTATCTGTAGGCGCTCTGGCTGATCCACGGAGAGCTCCTCACGCAGATGAAGGCGATCAGCAGGCTGACCTGAGACATAAGCACAGACACACCTCAGAGAAATGCCACCAGGACGGGCGCCCGGGACCAAACGGCAACAGCGTAACAGAAACACGAACCACCACCGAAAATCGAGGAACTGCTGCAATTCAGGATGTTTCCCTACAAATAGGCTGGATGGGTACAATTTCCTGCGGTGCAAGCCTTTAAACTCTCTTTTTGTTGTTGATGCTCACCAGAGGATATTTTTCCATTTGTTTTTTTTTTTCCGAGAGTGGGAGAGGGCGAGACAGAGAGAAACATCAATGTGCGACACATTGACTGATTGCCTCCCGAATGTGCCCCAACCAGGACCGGGGATTGAGCCTGCAGCAGAGGTACATGCCCTTGACCGGAATTGAACCCGGGACCCTTCAGTCCACAGGCTCCATCCACTGAGCCAAACCGGCTAGGGCAGGATCTGTTCTAAAAGGACAACTAATTTAGGACAAAATTTATTTTATGTTACAGAAGGGTGATTCTCAAAGGGTGTGTGCGTGGGGGGGAGCAGGGTGTGTCCTTTGGCGATGTCTGGAGACATTTTTGGCTGTCCCAGCTGTGGTGGGGGGTGCTATCGGCATCGCGTGGTACAGGCCTGGGTGCTGCCAACCAGCCCACAATGCACAGGATGGTCCCCGGTCTCCTTTGTGGCCCAGACGGTTGTGCTGCTGTGGAGAACCGGCTGGAGGACATGGGAGTCTGTAGAGAGAATCAAACCACAAAAACGGATCTAACGCCAGTAAAGCGGTCAAGGCTAAAAACGCTTGCTTCCTGAAGCCCCTCAAAACACACGCTCCCCAGGCCCTCGGGACAGGCACAGCGGCCAGAGGGCCCCCTGGGCTTGCAGCCTACGGTGCGCACGAAGAAGGCTCTGCTCAACAGATCAATGCAGAAGAGCGTGACCGACGAGAAGGGACCCTCCACACTGGCCTGGTTCCCTTTGCTAATGAGCAACGTATTTTCATGTTCTCGGTTCCTCTCCGGCCGGCCAGCCAGCCGTGGTAACAGAATGATTCACGCCTTGAGGCTGTTCCACGGCCCAGGGGAGGCTTGCCTGCCTCAGGAGCGTGCGTGTTGGCCAGTGCTCGGCTGCGTGGGTCCCCACGCCCAGATCTCCTCTACCTCTCAGCCCGACACCGACCCGCTCGGGGCCGGGGCGGTTTAGTTCAAGGCCCGCCTTACATAATGCACACAACCCAGGAGGCAGGCAGTGCGTTCCCGGTGAAGAAGCAGTTCTGCACCGAATTCAATGCAAGGATTAGAATAATTCTTACATCCTTTCATCCGTGACACTAGCTCTTTCTTGTGGTCACACAGAGATGTGTGGGGTTTCCCAGTGACCAAAAGGGGCCCGGGCAGGTCTCCCCCGAGCTCCCAGGCTGAGAGCACATCGCTGCTCCACCACAGCCCCTCAACCCTCCCTGGGCAACTCGCTGTGAAACGAGACTTCCTGAACTCTGTCCACCCACTGGGCTTGAGTCCGCCTACTACGACCTCTGCTTTAGGCAAGCCCAATGCCGGAAAGTCTCATTTAGACAGCAGAGGCTGTGCACGCAGGCAAGCTGCTGGAAGCTTCCTTTTTGCCCAAGGGTTCTCCCACTCCTAGTTTAGAGAGCCAACATCTCAGCTAGTGCACTTGACCAAAAAAAAAAAAAAAAAAGAGTTGATTGATAGCGATCTTTTCAGGAATTCTTCTAAGGCCAGTGGGTGGCCTCTGCAGAGGCTGGAGGCCCCGGAATCAGTCAGATCCATGCCCAGGCGGCTACCAGGAAGGAGAAGCATAAGAAGCGACAAAGCAATGACGGAGAAAAAGGCCCTGGGGTGTTGGTCCCCGACCCTCGGCTGACCCTCTCAGGACCTCTTCTTGTTCCCTGTTAGAAAAGCAAGTCCACAAACATGTCTGAATTCAGGGATGAGTAGGAGTTCTGAGCTCAGGATGGAGTGAAGGAGTGCCCCCGGCTCCTTTCGTACAGGTTTTGTTGGTAATCCTCACCCAAGAATATTTTTTCCATTGATTTTTTTTTAAAGAGAGAGTGGAAGGGAGGGGAGAGAGATAGAAACACCAAGGTGAGGGAGACACACAGATTGGTTGCCTCCCAGACACGCCTGGCCGGGCTGGGGAATGAACCTGCAACCCAGGTACATGCCCTTGACCGGGTATTGAACCCCGGACCCTGAGGTGCTCGGGCTGACACTCTAACCACTGAGCCACACAAGCCAGGGCTCATCAAGGTTTGTTCTTCTATGTTGAACTGTCATGGGCACTGAAAATAAAGTATCTAACATAAATGTCCATTAAAAGCAATGTTGCAAGGACCCTCAGCTTAGGGTCTCACAACCCGCCTAATCGCCTCAAATTAGAAACCAGCCCTTTTGCTCCAAACTGTGTCCCTCTGACTCCATACGGTCAGAAGAGACGATTTTTGTGAAAGTAGCCGTGGGTTTCAATTTCAAAGGAGATGAAGCCGGCCGACAAACCTGAGAGACACAACTGTCCCCTGAGAACTCGGGAACTCAGACAAGCTGGTCCTAACTCCGCAGCCAGGCGCCAGACAGCTTGGCCAGGTTCTCGGCCGGGTGGTGTCCCCAAAATACCCCGCAACGCCAAGACTTTGAATGAAGGTTACTTGACAAGCAGCCGGTGCCAGAGGGCACCTCGACCCTCCCTCGTCTCCCTGAGTGCAGGAACTACGTCTCCCCCGTGACAGGTGCCTCCTGCCCCAGCGGGGCCAAAAGAGACCACCTTGGGACTGGAGCTGAGAGATCCTGAGCCAAAGGCTCACAGAACACGTCAGGTTTTTTTTTTTAATATATATTTTATTTATTTTTTACAGAGAGGAAGGGAGAGGGATAGAGAGTTAGAAACATCCATCAGCTGCTTCCTGCACACTCCCTATTGGGGACGTGCCCACAACCAAGGTACATGCCCTTGACCGGAATCGAACCTGGGACCCTTCAGTCGGCAGGATGCTCTATCCACCGAGCCAAACCGGTCAGGGCAGAACCCTTCAGTTTTATAAAAAGGTTCCATCACTGAGCCTCCGTTTACGATCCGTGCATCTTATTGTGATTCTCTCGTGCGCATGTTCTAAACTGGCGTTTCTCCTGTTGGTCTAATCTTGTGTCAATTTTACTATTTTGTGACTGGCCCATCTATAAGGTCTAAATAAGGGCAGAGGGGGGTTCCCCCCCTCCCTGACAGCCTGAGGAAGAAATGGAATTTTGAAGGCTAGCCGGACAACTTTTGGAGGAGACTCAAGAGGTACGTTCTGGAGATGCCTTCTTCTGAGCTGGACAGCAGAGGCCTGGGGTGGGCTCGGGGCCCCTGCCGCCTGCAGCCTGAGCCCTCAGCAGGCCTGGCCCCTCCATGCCCCTGCCTGGTCTGGTCCACTGAGCATGCCTGTGTCTGGCTGAAGCAGGCACCGGACACCTTTTGTTTTAAGAGCCCTGGGCTGGACTCTGGCAGGTCACTGACCCCATCGTCTCCCTGTTTTTCAGTCTGACCTTGGAATACTGTGTCAGTGAGAGAGACAGGCAGGAGGAGGGGAAGTAACAGATGAAAGGTAACATCAGAACGTCTCAGGCCAGCCCGGGCCTGGTCACACCAAAGGGTCTCGGGTTCGATTCCCAGCCAAGGGATGTACGTGGGTTGCAGGTTCAATCCCTGGCCCCGTCGGGTGTGTGTGGGAGGCAACCAATCGATGTGTCTCTCTCACGTCAATGTTTCTCTTTCTCTCTCTCCCCCCCCCTCCCTCTCCCTCTTTCCCACTCTCAATGGAAAAAATATCCTTGGGTGAGGATTAACAAACAAAAAAGTCTCAGGCCCAACTCCAAGAGGCTTTTCTGCAAAAGCCCGGGAGAGGAAAGCCAGGCGTGTTCACACGTCAGAGACGTGGACGATGAGACTCGGGTGGAAAGGGCATGGAGACGGAAGCAGGCCCACAGGTGACTTTGCCTGGCAGTGGGCAGGCACGAAGAGGAATGCACACTGTTCCCACCTTTGGCTGAATTCTGCCCTGGGGGGGGGGGGGTAGGCAAATTTACCCCTGCCTTCCTGGTAAAGCCCCCACGAGTCATCACCAGGAAACAGCCCTGGTGCCATCTCATCAACACCCACGGGGAGAGAACCTCACCCTGGCTTACTTCCTCTGGGCCCCTGTCTCACTCACCAACATCAGACTTTTGCTACACAGGCTTCTTCCCACCCTCTCACGCCCAGCACACAGTTCTGTTCTGTATTCAAATATAAAAATGCCATAGAAAACCCAAGGGAGGCCCTAGCTGGTTTGGCTCAGTGGATAGAGCATCAGCCTGCGGACTGAAGGGTCCCGGGTTCGATTCCAGTCAAGGGCACATGTCTGGGTTGTGGGCTCGATCCCCAGTGAGGGGCGTGCAGGAGGCAGCTGATCCACGATTCTCCCTCATCATTGATGTTTCTATCTCTCTCCCCCCCTCTCCCTTCCTCTCTGGAATCAATAAAATTTTTTTTTTTTAAAAAAAGAAAGAAAACCCAAAGAAGGGGGAATAACGGAGGGAACATTCTGTCAGGGGTCCTGGGGTCCAGGCCTCGAGCAGCCGGGTAATGTACTGGTTTCTGAATGGAACCAGAGTCACCTGCAGTAAAGGAAAACACCGGAGCCGGTGTGTGTCCTGCTGGGAACATGACCGGAAGGCCACGGAAGAAGCTGCGGACAGTGGTTGCTTCTGGGGAGGAGAATGATTTAGTGGTTTAGAAAATGCGCTTCTTTTGTTCTCCTGTGTTATAAAGATCCCAGATTAAGTTGTAAAATAGCATTTTTTAAGGACCTGTCTCGGGGATCTTTCATGGCACATATATGCAGATCTACCCTTTTCTTTTAATTGGCTGCAGCTTTATCTGACCCGGGGTTTCTCAGCCTTAGCACTGGTGACATTTGGGGCCATCTTATAGGACTTTTAGCAGCCAATAGCGACAACCAAAAATGTCTCCGGATCTTTTCAAAGGTCCTCTG